TTTGATGATGATCTCTCTCGTTGATTAGTTTTCATAGCTTTCTAATCTCTCTCATAACTTTCATTCTCTCAAACTCAAAACACTCGAAAGATCTTTACACTAGCTTTTAGCGTAGTGCAGTAGAGAAGATCTCTAACGTTTCTTGTCGCTGCTTTGTGTTCTGACATCGCAAGTGAGGCACAAGCAAATTTGTCTTTTACAGCGAGTCCTCTGTTGAAGGGACCAGTACCGCCTTCATTGCTTGAACGTTCAAGTTGCTTAATCTTGAGTTCCTTCTCTCTGATGGCAGCTCGTCCAACCTTCTCGACTTTCTTTCCATCCTCTGATAGGCAACTCAGAGTCTTGCCACAGAGAGCTTTTGGTCCCCACAAGACAAACACCATATACCCTTCGAACATGTACTTCTCAGGCATTTGTTCTGCAGTGAAACTGTCCATGTCTTTCTTCACACGTCTTGCGCCATCTTTGTTCTTTGCCCCCTTGAGCAACATATACATTCTCTGTCGAACGTACATCAACATGTCATCCAAGCCTTTACCAGAAGGATACGGTTCTGGAGAAGACTTTGGACAAAATTCGTCGTGGTATTTGAGAGCAGTTTTGTAGTTGGCGATGCATCTGTTGCCTCTATCATAGACTTTTCTTCCCTGAATAAGTTCTCCTTTTGTCTTGGCCAGTGCCTCTCGCGTAAAGCCTCTAGAGAGGACACAGAATGTGGTTGCTGCAAGTGCAAAGTTGAATGAGAATCTATCCTGGCAACAAATGTTCCGCGGCTTGAACTTACACTCATCACAGGAAACCAGGTCTCGCAGAATCAGCGAGTGACCATCTTTCCTGAGCTCATTTCCTTCTCGATTATTTTCAATTGCCATACGGTCAAACAGCGATGCATAATCGCCCTTCCCTTCAATCAAATTGGTTAAGCACGAACCATAGCCAGCCGATCCATGGAAGCATTTTCCCATCAAATCCTTTTGTCCATCAAGATCCTTTCCGTCTGCTTTGTCAGCCATGCAAATTTCCCAGCATTGTGTAGCCACCAGGGACCTACACTCCTGGACCAGGTAGTCAGCGAACTTGGTGGCGGCAACTGCCATGGTCACTAGCCCAACTATAGAACAACAACGACTCTACTAGTGATGCTATTGCAATAGTGGCAATGAAACAAGATCGTATCTATGTAATAATAATATTGGGAGTACGTAATTCATGCAAAAAAGATTTGCTACGTCATTGCTTGGTGCCATCTGATTGGATACCGAGTGCCACTTTGTGATGGAAGGATTGTACCGATACCGTGTGTGCATTTGGTCCGGTGCCGCACGGACACGGTAGATTTATGGTACCGTGTAACGTGTAACGTGTGCGGATAGGGTCGGCTTAAGGAGGTACCACCCTCTTTTAGTCATGAGTTGGGATTAACAAGTAAAATCGCGACAACAACAGCAAAAACTCGCTGAATTGGACTGATCAGTTGAGTAGAATAGAGATCTCTTATAAGCCTTTGACCAATACAAATCGTACTTGGGATATAACAAACAAGAGTACCCCGTCCAGTTGGACAGTCGCTGGGGCTTAGACTGTTTAGTTCAGTGTTAACTCTGAATTCGGTCGAAAATCGACCACTAAGTCTGCTGCTACTGAGACCTATCGACCGGAGCCCCTGCAACTGTCCAGCCAAGTCGCTCCTTCTTAACAACTATGTTTCGAAGATTTAACTTAATGGTAGCTACTGTCAGAATTGAGTAGGACAAGAGCACTAGCCAGTCCCAACAGCAGCGATCGAAATCGCTAATTTGTTGTTGTTGTCGCGATTTTCTCGAGTAAAATGGTGCGAATCCCGACTCGTGACTAAAAAGAGGGTGGTACCAGGTACCTCCTTTTATTAAAAGACAGCACCTAGTCGAGCTTGACGGCCAGCGGATACTGGCATGGTATGATACTGGTACTTGGGTCGATGCGTTTGTGAAGACTCGGAGGTGGCGCCGGGGCCGCTGCTTTTGGATGGAGGACGGTTCGGCAAAATCCAGCAACGCAGGCTTATAGACGAAAGTCGTGAAAGATCCTGTCAAAGATCCGTTGCTGAAACCGAGGCTTCCTGATGCCTCTTGTGGAATGACTGTCACTATGCATACAAGCTCTTTGCTGATACTAACCATTGCCTTCGTTCCTACCTTTCGAAGGCTTCACTGTACCAGTCCTGCTCAATTTAGATCAGTTAGATCTGCTTGCCTCAGGTCCATTTTACCACGTTGTAGCGTCGATCATTCTGTTAAGGATCCTCTTGTTGGACCCCACCAAGATTTGAATCAACCTCCGATAGGTCACCGTCGTTATTATTTCCAACAATCCAACCTACAAAACACCACTTTGATAACAAGCAAAACAGCAACAACAACCACAATCATCAAAATGGGCATTTCTTACGAACTCTTGAAGAAGCAAAATGCAGAGACATCCAATGCCATTATTGAGCACATGGCATCCAACGAGAACTTTGCCAAGTTGTCCAAATTCGAAGGCGATTCGACCGTGCAACGAGACAAGGAAGATGCCGACAAGCTGCAAGTGGGCATTGATTATGCCAAGGAAAAGGGAGTCATTGACAAGAACTACGTTCCAGAACCCTATGTCAATCTAGATGTCCTGGGCAAAACACCCGATAAGGTGGCAGATGAGATTCTAGAGCAAGTCAACAAGGGAGGTGACAGCAGCAGTGGTTCTGTCATTGTCTTGTGTGGTCTGTCAGGGACTGGAAAGGTATGTTAGAAAAACAATTCACATGGATGATGATTGGAATACAGGGAGACAAATTAGAGTCTACTGGAGTGATGGTTAGCTGGAGAGCTGACCTAACATTCTTGTCTGTCTCTTTCTCACTCATTTACGCCCAATCAATCTAATCTAATCCATGCTCACTATTTATTGATTCGATTGAATTCATTCAGGGAACCACCGTGGCAAAATTGCGCAGCAAGTTGGAAGAAACTGGCAAAGAGGTTGTCACATGGTCCAATGGAAACATCTTTCGTAGTGCCACCCTCTTGGCCGCCACTTGGTGCGAACAACAGGAAGGTATCGAAGGATTTGATAAGGAAAAAGCATTGACCAAGGAAAATTTGGCTTCCTTCATTGGCATGCTCTCCTTTGGAAAGAATGACGATGGACAATACGATACCCACATTCAAGGATTAGGCTTGGATCTCTACGTGTCCAAGGTACAAAACACCGAACTGAAATCGGCTAAGGTCAGCAAGAACATTCCCACCGTGGCCGAGGTCACACAGGGAGAAGTCATTCTGTTTGCCGCAAAGGCTGTCGAAACCTTGAAGAATGCCGGTAAGATGGTCTTGTTGGAGGGGAGAGAGCAGACTGTCAACTATGTCAAGACTCCCCACAGATTCATTCTCATGCTGAGCGACGAATCTCTCATTGGAAAACGAAGGGCTGCGCAACGAGTCATGGCTGGAGCGTTGGAAGCTGTGGGTGGTAACGCCGGTGCGGATGAAGCTGCCGTCGATGCCGCATTGACTAAGACGTTGGATGCCATGGCGGCAGATGCGAAATAGAAACCTATCAAAGGCAAACTCATTTGGATAACAGAAACAATCCACTCGAGCAATTCAACGACAGACTGCTGACACTAGCTAGAAAGGAAATTGAAAAGCAAGCATGAGGTGGCCCGTCTAGTCAGCTAGTTAAGCTCTACAACCTAGCGCCTTTTTCTTAGCTGCAGACTTGTAGATTGATATGCATGTAGTAGCATTGATCCCATACCGGTATCGACTGCAAAACCAGCCCAAATAAGGATCCACCACATAATTGTCATCCAGTTGTTGCGTGTTCGCCTATCCATACTTGATCAGACCGCCAATTCCCTTGATCTTATCCACGATACTCTCGTTGTAGAAAAGCTGAATCAAACATTCGCAGAATGGCAAACCCTTTTGCTTGTCAATCGGATAATCAATGACCGGTGGGATTGTCGTGTTGACACCAGGGATACGATCCGTCACAATGGCACGCTCCAAACACAAAGCCTTCAATCCCTCAATTCCAGCAAAACGACCAAATCCGCTTTCCTTGCATCCTCCAAAGGGGAGCGCCTGAACCAGATAGTTGCTGGCAAAATCATTGATTGTACACATTCCACTCTTGAGCTGACGTCCAAGTTTGAGGGCCCGTTCGGCATCACCACCATAGACACTCGATCCCAAACCAAAGCAGCTGCTGTTGACCATTTTAAGACATTCCGCGTCGTCATTGTCGGGTACTTTGATGACCGTCATGACGGGACCAAACAATTCCTCCTGGAAGATTCGCATGGCGGGTGTGACACCACTGAGCATGGTGGGTTCATAAAACTGTCCGCCCTTGCAAGCGTCCGATACATTTCTTTTGCCACCGCAATGCAACTTGGCACCCTTGGCCACGGCATCATCCACCAAAGCCTGAATGAGATCCATTTGACCATCCATTACCATGGCACCACAATCGACATCGGCATCGTTTCCACGACACTCCAGGGGGCCTCCTTGACGCAACGTCTTGACTCTTGCTTCTGCCTGCGCCACGAATTCATCATAGACTCCTTCGTAGACAAAGACTCGTTCGACCCCGACACAATTTTGACCACAGTTTTGAAAGCATCCACGCATCACCCATGGCACGACCTGCTTGAGATCGACATCGTTCATGAAAACCATGGGATCCTTGCCTGTTCAATCAAGCAACATTCACATGGTGAGAAACAATTTTGGTCAAGAATTACTCCAACACCTCAGTTATTGCCACACAACACATAATATATACATACCACCCAATTCCAAAATGACCGGTTTCAAATGCTTGGAAGCACCCTCCATGACCTTTTTGCCAATGGCAGGACTGCCGGTAAAGATGATTTTGTCGACCAAGGGTTCCGCCACCAATGCGGCTCCTGCTTCTCCCAGTCCAGTGACAGTTTGTACGAGATTGGGATCATGTCCGTGTTCCTTCAATGCCTGTTTGACGATGCGATCAAAATAGGAGGAACTCCACGAAGTATGTTCGGAAACCTTTCCCACGACGGCATTGCCAGCAAAAATGCCACTGATAATGTGATTAATGGCATTGTGGAAACTATAATAAAAAGAGAGAAAATGATGAGTTACGGAGGAAGCATCCAACTGAAACAGATTATTGTTGTTGTAGCAAACTCACGGATAATTCCAAGGCGCAATGGGTGCAATAATGCCAAAGGGAACATATTCCACACGGGCAGATTTGTGCACCATCATGGGTCCGGTGGGTCGATAGGAAGGTTGCAACCACAATTCTCCCCATTCATTAATGGTTCTAATTTTTTCACAAGTGGTCAATACTTCTCCTAGCAGTGCATCCACCTTGACTTTTCCGGAATCGCGAGATGCCACACGGCAGATATCTTGCACGTGATGACAAATGTACTTTTGAATGGTCCGCAAGACCAATCGGCGTTCCGCAAAGGTCGTCTTGGCCCATTTTTCTTGTGCCAATTTGGCCTTGACGCAGAGTTCGTGGACATCGGCCGCTGTCATGGCCTTCATTTCGCCCAAGTGTTGTTTGGTGGCGGGGTCGTAGCATTGGATGAAACCGGGTTTGTTGGGATCTAAAATGGAAATGGCCTCGTCCGCACCCAGAGGTTCACTGGTGACTCCGTCATCTTTGGCTTCGGCATCTGTCATTTCGACTTGGATCAGAGGCACTGGAGTCGTCACGTACTCGATCCACAGAGCAATATGGTACACCCAATGAGTAGACTGAATGTACAGGAGGGCCAATGACACTACCACCACATGAGCGAGGATCATCCAAGGAGAATCCCAAAGAGAAGGCCCTGGAGCGGGGCATGATTCATTGCCGCTCGACATGGTGCAGGTTGTCAGTTAGTTAAATTAAAAGTGGACAGCAGAGGAGAGGATTGTGTTGGGAGAATGCTTTTTATTGGTATGAAAGAAGACAAGGAAGATCAATAAGGAGTTGCAATGACGAAGCCGTCCTGGATCCAAAATCCATGTTCGTTCGCGATCCGATGAAAAAGCAACGGCCAAGAACGCGCGGCTGGATTTGCTCACTTTTTAAATTCTGGCCCAGCTCAACTCATCTCTCCAACTCCATGCCACCAGTTGGTTGTGAGAAAGCAGTGGCTTTGGTTGGCTACTAGCTAGAAGCTAGCTAGCTAGCAAGGTATACCCGTGATGATGCCATCGCAGCTTAATTAAGAGGAAAGATATCTGGTATTTATCGTCTGAAGCCAAAGGCAGCTAGCTAGGTAATTATTAGTACAGGTTGTGCTGTTACCAAGAATGGATCACTGATTCAATCTCTCCGCCAGTGATGGGCTCTGCTCGCAGCCATTCTCACAAGCGCATGTTGCCAAGTATCCCTGTGGTGTGACATGGCGAAGCCAATTGTAGATCCATCCATCCCAGGGACAGCCATCTTCACGTTGCCCATTGAATAACACACCAAACCAAGGGCAGCAAATGCACATGTCCCACTATCACATGGGAACTCCTCTTCACTGAGCCGCTTCGGATTGGGCTACACATTGCACCGGAGGATCTTAGAGCTGCCTACCAAACTACCTTCTCCTCGCTGCGCAAGACCCGAAGATGCCAGTGCAACTGGCTGTATCTAGTTTGCCACAACTCCAGATGTTCAGGACTTGCGTGTAACTGTTCATTCCTGGCAAAAAGGGAAGCTCAATCTCTTTGTTTCTTCTTCAAGGCCATCCCCGGATGCATCACCCGAGGAAAGAGAGATACTAGTACTTGTGCTACCAAGACTAGCAAGAGAGCTGATGTTTGAAGCGTCCAATGAGGTTTTTCGTGAAAAAGCTCTCTCCACTTGCGGATGGTCGTTTGGACTTTGTGCTCTATCGTTGGACTTTGTGCTTTATCAAGTTGAGCAGCTCATGATAGGTGCCCCAATTTACGATTGAATTCATTCTGAGCTCCTGGCATCAGAATCAAAACTACCTGTTGGAGGCGGAATGGAACGTCAAGACGCATGCAACTTGGGAAGCGATGCGTGACAACCTCAGCCAGATGATTTCTTTGTGCATGTCAATACCATGCAAGCGTTGTGATTCATCACGAAGGTACGTGAAAAAAGCACTTCACCGTGTCAGTTCACACAGCCGTACTCTTTGCATGTTGTGTTGCAACTTCTGACTACTGATAGAACTCCTCACTATCGCCTAGTTGAATCTCAGGCTTTGTTGGTGTTTGCAGTGTAGACTGCTCCTCCTTTTGTTGTTCTTCTCCGTGCATTTCTGGTTGTGCTGGTGATTGCAGTGTAGGTTGTTGTTGCTCTTGTTTTACTTCTTCATGCTGTTGTTGCACTGGTTGGCTGCCTGTCGAGGTAGTGACCCCGCCATCGCTGGACAATCGATTCATGTTTCGGCAAAAGGAAGCTCGACGGCTCTTGTTGTCGTTGTTGTTGCTACTGTCTTGACGGTTCTTGCGTTGTTCGATCCAATCGTAGACCCGGGGTTGTACATAATACACCAGCCAATTGAAGAATCCTTGTGATCCCACAAATGTGACGGCGAGCAGTCGAATGGGATAGGGCGGTGGTTCGTTGCGGACGGAGGACCATGTACGGCTGGTAGTGGGGAAAACGTACATGACAATAAACGCGGCAGTGTAGCAGATGCCTTGATAGGCGACCCGTCGAGTAATGGGTAAATCGGACAGGGTAGCTGATTGTTGGAGTGGTGGTAGACCCAGAGTGACGTTGCATGTACTGGGAGGTAATGTGTCGGTACTGGGAGCATCGTTTGTGGAGTCAGCTCCGCCTTGTTCCACTGCCTTCAAGCTCAGCTTAGACTGTTGCAAATATTTCATAGATTGTTGTCGAAAGGTATGTCGGACCGACTTTTCCTCTGTCTTGCGGACTTTGGCATAAATGAGCAACATGGCTATAGAGCCCAACAACATGCTGGCCCAAATGGGAACATAGAAAAAGGTCCAAAAGTAGACATTGGAGTTGGGACCGGCAATGTAACATCGTACCCAATGTGGATTGTAGAGACCCATGGAAATGGCGGTACTGCCTGTGACCACGACAAAGAGCCACGAACACACATGTGCGCAGGGTTCAAAGACACCGCCAATCCGAGCCGGTGTCCAGCGATAACGAATCAAGAGGCAGTAATACCAGGCCAAAAAGCCGCTGTAGAGGGCGGCAGCGACTTGGAAATTGCAAAAGAAACCTTGGGCATTGCAGGTCGCTTGATTCCCCTTGCCTCCGTTTTCTACAGGGAACATGACATCGCCAATCACATATATTGACGAGCTCAAGAAATCAGCCACACTCATCCCCAGCAGTAATGTTTGACCCACAATGGCATTCTTCTTGTTGCTGTTGCAATCGTTCCGATCTCGACGACAGCACGGCCAATTCACTATACGGCTCAACACTGACACCAAAATGCTACCCGATCCCAATACCGACAGGCCCGCCAACACGCGAGGAACGATGCGAATGGCACTACTTTGTGCCTCGGAAAGAGGGTGTGCCATGGTCTCGAAGGGTGGCGATTGTAAAGGTATTCTGCTAGGTCAATAATGAAAATAGCAATGATAATCCATGTCCATACAGTACGGCACAAATACTACGGTACCGCCTCGACCGTCTTGATATCTATCTTGTTGCTGTTACATGTATGGCAACCGTACCGCGCACGTGTACGGTACGAAATAGCTCTAAGTGTCCTTCATTGGTACTAAATAGTTTCATAAGTGTGAAATTCCGATTCTCTCTGCAAAAACGTAAAACTGTATGCATTCTTTAGATGTACTAGATAGTTCATGTATTTTCACAAATTGGTGAAGCCTGAAATATAAAAACACGAAATTGAAATTTTCACTACTGAGTCTTGCCTGTTTCCGGACACTGCCAGGAGTTGATAAAAAGAGGATGCTCGGACACAAAGGAAACAAGAAACGTAGCAAAACAGCATAGAAATTTGAAAGAGAGGCTGCAACGAGCAACCAAGTTCTAAAGAAGTAGTCGAGTCTTCTACGCTGAATACTGAATGGTGCAATAAACAGGTGCGATTTGCCTGCACAGCAGATTTTGTCATTTGATTGTTGGCAGCCCACATGCATGTATCCTCATTCCAAGGGCATCCGTTGCCCTCTGCCCATTTGAGAACTTCAAAGTGGCCATGTCTTGCAGCAGCAGCCTCGCAGGTCCTTGCATTCCAAGGGCACCCATTCTCCACTGCCCACTTCAGGAATTCAAGATGCCCACCTTCAGCAGCAGCCTCGCATGTATTTGCATTCCATGGGAATCCATTCACACGGGCCCAAATGAGAATATCTAGACACCCTGGTCTAGCTGCATACTGACACATCCTTTCATCCCAGGGGCATCCATTCTTGCAAGCCCATTTCAACATATTGAATAACAGTCACATCCCATCACATGTTTTTATTCTCATGATCCCATTTCAGTATGTCGTACATGGCCATTTCTAGCAGCCCACAGCCCACAGAACTACTCCACCTCCATGGATACCCTTTTTCTTTCACCTTGGCGCTACTAGTACTCTAGTGACACTAGTTGATCCTGCGGTTGGTCTGGTGTTCCGGAAAAGCATGTGTACCATTTTTAAGCCGTTAGGGAAGCTTGGGAAGTCTGCGGTCATTGGGTCATTCTAGCTAGCGTTCTGATGCCCAATCGAGCTCAGAGCAGAAGCCATTGGAAGGAGGAAGCTTGCCAACCTCCAACACATTTTTCCCTCGAACAAACGAATACTGTAGCCAACTTTCATAACTATGATAGCATCAGCATTAGGTGGTGGTAGAATCAGGGCAACTGGAGCAAGACCCACTGTTTCTCGAGCCGTGTTGTTCTTGGAGGCATTATGCGTCACGCTGTGGTTGGCCCAAGAGTTGTTCATGAACCGTTCCATCTATGCGACGGTGAATCATCATCCTGAACCAATGGGACAACGAGAACTGGAAGCTCCTGGTTGTTACAAAGAGCAAGAATCAATGAATGGTACAGCACCAGCACGGCGGGTGTTGTCGCCGGCATCACCGACCAGTGCTCCCTCCAGCTTGCATTCCACAGTGCAACCCACCACCAAGGCGCCATTGTCAAATGCTGCTTCCTCCACAATATCCTTATCATCCCTACCTCAAAAACCACGTCTCTTTTGGTGTGGATACGAAGACATGGGTAATATTGCAGCGGCTACCCTGTTTCCAGATTTTGGCTACCCTGGAAGTTACACCTATCGATGTTTGGGGCCCAAACGGACCATACAGGCACAACCCTACGATGTCATTGTATATGGAATGCACGGAAAATGCTTCGATTTTCGAGACAATATACCTGGCTTATTGAACGTTTTTCCCGGCAAGATTTTGTTCATTAATGGAGAATCTTTTGGCAATATTCAAACCATGAACCCGACATCCAGCGAACGACTCTATCAACTTGGTCCCTATCGAGAACAACAAGCCTGGCAACATCATTCCTTTCAAGTATACTTTTTGGTCATTCGATTTTTTAAACTCTCAAAAGAACAGCAACGTTCTATTACGGATCATCGATACAAACCACACGGGAATTCACCCAAAGAGCATCCAACCACAGTGGCCTACTTTGTCAGCAATTGTGTGGATTTTCGACAACAAGCTGCCGCCGAGATTGGAGAAATTATACCATTGCACCATACCAAGGGTTGTCACGTCAATGCCTCCAAGGCAGAGTTGGTACCCTCCCCAAAGCTAATGTCCATGGGAGCCCGTGGCGCCTATGAGAATCATGAGTTGTATCAGAATTACAAGTACTGCTTGGTCATGGAAAACAAGGTGTATCCTGGATACATTACAGAAAAAATACTCAACTCTTATTTGGGTGGGTGTGTCCCCATTTACTATGGAACCAAAGAGATTTTTGATATTTTTCACAAGGACAGTTTTGTGTTTTACAACGTCACCAATCCTCAACCGGCGCTGGAACAACTGCAAATGCTGGAAAATGATCCCAATGCCTATCAAAAGATGCTGTACGATACACCCATTCTGGCATCGCCTGAGGTCTTGGAGAAGTACTTTTCCTTGTCGGATGATGTTGGAGGTGGACGGCTGAAGAAGCAAATACGGGAAATGATGGGGATAGAGGGTACTTGGGAACAGAAAGAGTAGATAGATGAATGAAAGCATAGATAAAGATATGGGCTTCACATTGTCTTAGAATGTTCGTGGGAGCCTTGCTGTAACGTTTCTGCTTTGGAGTTTGCAGCGTCGAACCAATAAACCGTTCTTGAGCTCTCTAGTAGCGACAACCAGACACCAGTATTCAGTATTCAGTCAGGACCAGCAGACCATGCTGCCAAACACTGGCACACATGGCTTCCTAGATGTTCCTGCTTGAAACAGCTCAATCAAAACCGCGGCTTTCCCAGTACCACAACCAAGCTGCAGCCAGCGGTTGGATCTGCATGTATTAGGAGCTCTTTCTGAGGGGCTATCTGGTTGTTCGCAGCGGTACCGGTAGGTTTGAGGTGCCGTGTCAAGAATTCGCGCGGTCTCTGTTCCTTGAACCAACCAACTCCACGCGGATTCCCCGGTTCAACTTGGTAAGTGACAGATGGATTTCATGGCTCATTCGGCTCTTGCTTGGGATCTACGAGTAGGTCGCTTGGTACGGTACAGGAGTAGCTAGCTCGAGCTAGAGAGCTCTAGCTCTACCGTACCTGAGAGGAGGGTAGTTTTGGGGAGGCTTTGTCTTGCGTGCAAACCAAACCAAATCAACCCGAAAATGGCAAAATTTCAAAATTGCCTTTCAAACGGGAACAAATCAAAACATTTTGAAAAATCGAAGTGAAGCGCCTTCGAAGGAAGAAGTCGAGCTCACAAAATCGCGCACTCGCAAAGTTCAAAGCAACCAACAACAAGCAACGACAGTTCACCAAACAGAAAACATTTCAACCATGACCGAAGAATCTACGTTCGAGTCGAAGATGGCGGATTTTGAATCGGAACAGCTCGATCTCCAGGAACGCGAAGTTATGGGCCAGATGGATATGCTCCAACGCAAGTTGAAAGCGATTCAAGAGGTAAGCAAAGTAACGACTCGACTGAGTCAATCGAGAGAACGATGGATTGTCTTTTTGTTGTTGTCGTTTGCGCCGCCGCTTTTTGTTCTTCGAGTTTGTGTTCTACTGCCATGTCTGTTTCGTCGCGCCTTTCGCTCATCGAGTGTTCTCTGTTGTCCATTTCTCGTCCTTGTCTTGTTGCACAGGAAAAGGCGAAGCTTCGCAACCGCCAACTGACTTCGCCCCAGCAGCTACGTCGAAAGAGCGTCCCTTCTCCCAAAGATGCCACTGTCAAGAAGACACCTGCCAAGAGCAAGAGCCGAGCCGGTGGTCTCTTCTCTTCGTTGTTCAAGGGCAAGACGGAGTTTGAAAAGGTCGAGTCGACTCAGTCGGAGGACACTTTCTCCGTGTCGCCAACGGACTCTACTCGCAAGAATGCTCCAGAAGCTCGAATGGTCGCGACTCCTCCACGAGGACAGCCACCTGTGGTGCCACACAACTCTCCCTACGACGCACCCAATGGCAACGGGCAGTTGGTCGGAAGTCCTCATCCAACCGTTCGATTCGGGCACCCAAGTCAAACGATGGTTCCCATGCAACAAGATCAAGGAGGCATGCAACAAGGAGTTCGCCGTGGTTCGGTGCAGCAAGGAACTCGTGGTGCTGGTGTCCCCGCGAACAAAGGAGGGCAGGCCGCCTTCGACCAGCCGGGAATGCGTCGACAGACTGCTCCCATCCAACGTGGAGTTCGTCCTTCCAAGAGCCAGGGACAGGGCCGAGGACGTCCTACGCAGCGTAACCCACAACAGGTATGACTGCAACGATCCATTTCTAGAGTAATCTGCTCAACTCAAGCACTTTCTCACCATTGTCTATTCATTCATTCGCCTTCGCTTACAACAGAATGTCGGTCGTTCTAAATCTATTGCCAACCGTGGCGTGAACGGAAACTACGCAGCCGGAAACAAGGTGGGCATGGACAAGAGTGCTGGTCAGGACAGCCCCCACAACCATCGAGAGCAGGAAAACAACTCCCCTCTCAAGACAGGTGCTCCGGCTCCTTCAAATACTTCCAACAAGCCTCGTGGTGGCCCTCCTCTGCGCGAAGTACAGTCCTCGGGCTCTAACGATCCCCCGAAGGCGGCCATGTCGATGAAGGCATCTCTCCTGGGAGAAATGAAAGCCAAGGTTTCTAGCGGCGGAGGAAAGATCCAATTGAAGAAGACCGATGGGGCCCGAGATGAGCCACTCAAGACAAAGAACGATGTCGCTCGAGCTCGAGCAAAGCCAGCAGCTCCGGTCGTTGAATCAAACCCACTTCTGGCTCAACTCAAGGCCCACGCCGCTTTCAACAAGAACGCGAACGCGGACTGGAGCTAAACCCCACCGAAACCTCGTGATCCCAGCTACCTCAGCGATGTCTCAAGCCTCGTCATTCAAAGTATTATTTGCCAATCAATTGCTTCCGTTTCCGATGCAGCGCCATAAACAGGTCGATTCATTCAGTATTTCATTCTCGACCTGTAGACATATCTAATCAACTACAATAATCCCTCCTATTTTTAAAGAACAAACTAGGAACAGCTCCAGGAACCATCGTCTCAACTGTAGCAACATGCACCGGTACCGCTAGATTGTTTGAGCAACCGATACTCCCATAAATTAGCAGCAGTAGAAACTGGAGATCCTTCTCCGCATCATCAGGAAGCTTGGAGCTGCCCTTTCGCTTTACCGGTAGCACAGGTGGACGCCGAGACCTTGGGCGGTGCACGTTTCCAAAACGTTTTCAGGAGCCCAGCCATGCAACATCCCCCGCTACTGGTGCCAATACCGGTACATTTACAAGCTAGTGGCGATTGAAGATTGAAGGATTATCGTAGAAACAGGGTCTAGAGTACATCATGACAATGTACTGCAGCTGCTCATCGCAATGCTCAAGACACTACCTCCACCTTGATCTTATCCAACCCGGTGATTAGCTCTCGCACTGGACCGATGATGGCGACGCTCAGGTCTCCTATACGAGAGTAGATGAAGTTGCTGAAAGCACGAAGCGTGTTCTTGAGAAACTTGGTACCGGAGAGGAGGCCGTTCTCGTCGTTCAACGGCATCTCCGACAAAATCAACTCGCGAATGCTGCTAGTGGCATCCTTCAAGCCAGGTGCATCATCAGGAGCGTCCATCAAAAGGCACGCCAGCAACACGCACCCATGGCCCGCTATAACCAGTTTTTCATTTTCATTCTTTGTCAGAACGCGTTGGGAATGCTGGTTGGGACCCGCAGCACTGTTGCTACCAAAAGAACCTTTCATGATGGAATCACGAAAACTCTCTGTCTGTCCCACCAACGTTTGTGTCAGCCAGGTCAAAAAAGGAATTGGTTTGTCGCCTCTGAGACACTCCATTGACAGCAGAATGCGACGCGCATTCCCGGTGGTTTCGTCTCCGACAATATTGGTCAACGCGTTGAGGCAGAAGATGCAAGTGTCGTAAGCAACCTTGCTCGTCAAATTGCCATCGCTGTTCGTTGCGGTTTGATATAGAATTTGTCCCAGAAGCTGAACGCCACTCCAGGAACCATCCTTGGAGAGCGAGTCCACTAGAGGGTCACTGTTGTCCCGGTATTGGATGCCCATTTGGTCAGCTGCCAAGCTGTTCAAGTGAGTTAGACTTGTCAGAGTGGTGAAGACCGTGTGTCCCATTTCGTTCAAAAGCTCCATCGTCGTCGGAGTTGGTTTCTTCCCATTGACCTGTTCTTTTTGTCGAAGCCAAACTTTCAGGAAGAGCACTTGACTCGCCACGAGAACGCCGCCTTGACACTTTTCGTCGTCAAGTTCCGTCGTCTCCGTGGAGGCTGAGCTTAGTTCAATGCGATTGTTGTCGTAAAGGAGGCAAGCATTGTCCACCAAAGAGGCCAGTGCTTCAAGCTTGCCATGAAGATGCTGCAGACATGCCTGACAAGACGTAGGGAAGGACCGATGTTCGATTTCTTCGATTGTGGCCGTCAAGGTTTCGGCCATCGCCTCTGCCAAAGAAGCGACGGCCCCGCTGCTTCCCAGGACACGATTGGTTTGTAGGAGCGGATTGTCATTCAATGCCTCGTCATCCTCTGGCGCATTTGGCTTTCGACGAACGGGGCTTCGGGTGTTACTATCTCCACAGTCCTCATCATCATCATCCGAATCAAAATCGTCAGGCTGGCTCAAACGCTTACTGCTCTCCGAGGCACTCTCGTCCAAGCAGGAATGTTTGTCTCCCTCTTCTTTCCCACTCAAAAGTCGATTTAGGGCCTTCAACGCGACCGAAGAAGCACACCCAGCTCTGTCCTTCCCTCCAAATGCCAGCGGTAACTCACGGTGCCCTTGGCAATTGTGCAAAATCTGACTACCCGGTTGTCGGAGTGCTTGATCTGGCAGTGCAAACCTTTCGCGCGCTTTCCCGAGCTGCGCGTGAATTTTGAGCAAAGCGCTATCACACGACATTAACGAGGACGCATCGTCCCCACCACCGCGTCGCGCTGCAGTAGGCGACGACTGCCGCGACGATTGACGAGAAGATGGCGAAAAGCCGTCTTCTGTCTCTCCTCCGGCAGCATTTCCAAAGACTACTCGAGGCGGTGACCGAGGAGGTGTGGCTGCCCCCGATACATTAGCTCCGGTTAATGACATGGCGACAGATCCATCTTCGGCAATGGTTTCCAGCGAGCGGTCCTTCTTGCGCCGTCGCTTGCGCCTTCCTGCAATGGTTGGATCATGTGGCCTTGTGGGTTCTTCGGCATTTGGTGGCGGCTCTGGGTTGTCTTCTGATGAGGACTGCGACAGATTGTTGTGCCGACGTTTGCGTCGCCCACCTGCAGTTGGGTCTTCCGCGGCATCGGCTGCTCCAGCTGAATGAATGGACGACACTTCGGATAATTGCGACAAGTTGTTTTTCGCGCTGCCTTGTGACAGGTCTTGAGGTGGAATCTCTTCCATCGGGTTGTTGTCCGTTGGATCCAAAATGCTCGCAACCATGGGATCATTTTGGCGCATAATGAACATGATAGCGGGTAAAGCGCCTTCATGGTTCAAAATGGTCTGTCGAAAGGCCCTCGCTCCGGTGGAATTTTTGTGGAATACCGAAGCCTGACTATCAATCGTGACATCCCACGAAAGAAAGGACACAATGGCCGTCAAGGCATCCAACAAGAGTCCCGTGTAGTATGCTTCCACAATCGATGGTTGCTGCTGATTATTGGCGCTTTCCTGGGGTTCCTCGCCGCCGCCCTTGGGATGGACCAGTTCGAGTCGTTGCGTCAAACTGCGCCAGCGGCACGTAGATGTCTTCTCCATGAGGCCACTTGTCGTGTGCTGCAAGACATCCAATACATCTTCGACGGTAGCCTTATGTTTGTCATCTCCCTGCCATAGCACTCGTCTGACTTTGGTATCGGATAACAAGGCCGCCAATTCCGCCACGGATTCAATCAGTGGAGCCTTTAATATTTTGGATGATTTGGTGGGATATCCCAGAACGGTGGATGTCAAGTAGGCACATTCATCGTGAATCATTTGGTGATTGCCAGCATCTTGTGCGGCAAAGACATCTCCTCCAGCACCACGAATTCTGCGGCGTGAGACAACTTCTACTGTGGGACTACTCGTACTGAGTTTTTGTTGTTCTTTTTCCAACTTTTTGAGTTCCCTTTTGAGTTTATCGGCCACACTCAATTCACTTTTCATGCTGCATGGAGGTGGAGGGGACTTGAAAAAGTCATCCGCAGGAGAAGCTGTCTTTGTGGTTTTGTTGCTGTCGGCACTGGATTTTCGGGTAGCTGAAGTAGGTCGTGTCAACTTGGCCTTGCTAATTCCAGCAGTGTTGTTGTTGTTGTTTGTGCTACCATTCGTACCATTGGTGTTGTTGGGTTTCTTCCTCTTTTTTCGTCGAGGAGCAATCTTAATGCTTGGCGTGGAAAAAGATGGATTTGCTTCATCCTCGTCATCGCTGCCTTGATTCTTCTTGGATTTCCCATTTCTCTTTTTGGTGAAGCGCACATGTTTGTTGTTGTTGTCTTGCGACAGAGAGTTCAGTCCCAGATTCTGTTTTTCAACTTCTTCTTGCTGTCTCCGACGATTTCGGGCATGTCGAGATCCCTTCAGAATGGGACAGGCTGTACGCGATCGAGCAGGAGAACCGTTGCTGTTGTTGTCATTGGTGGTGTCGGCGGCTGTACCGGTAGAGTCATTGGTGTCGGCGGTAGTGCTGTTGCTGGTGGGGGAAGTCTCATCTTCCTCGGTTTCAAGCTTGGGAATGGCAGGAGGAGACGCATTTCTCACCACCTCCTTCTTTACCACAGGCGATGAGGAAGGAGATGCCAAGTCTTGATCATCGTCAAAGTCAAAAATGCTCGCCATGGTGTCCTCAACGGAAGAAAAGACACATGAAGTGCTTCGGTCTTTTTGAAATAATAAGAGTGATGGGTTTTGTAAATTGAGGACAACACGCTAACATTGGTGTTTCCACGGGCGCCCACCACGCCAAGTCACGCTCGACCCTATTTTTGAATTTGGAGCCGTCGCGAGCTGTGCAAACATCCATGCCCCGGCATTCACCGGCCTTGTCTCAACTTGCCATACATGTTTGGCACTTTGCCTTTGACTGCGAGACAACACAGCAACCGATCTATGTAGACTCGCATGTACCTTCTTTCTCCAACAATTCTATATGACATACTCAAGCTAGCAGTAGCCACTTGGAATCTACAGTACCCCTAGCTAGGACATATCGAATCTTTCAGGTCTAGAATCAGCGATCAGTCAAACCAGATGCAATTCTAACCCAAGTGCACGAACAAACTTGCCACAAGCAACAATGTAATGATATAGTATTGTAGAGAGTTACAATAAAGTACCATGTCTTGGTGGTGCCCCGATATATCCAATGACTTGAAAGGCAACACAAGAACACAGTACGTAACAATCCAAGGTCTAACCAACATGCAGCTCGGCCAAAGTTTCTTGTTTCAGCGTAAAAACACCCCACCAGAGACTTTCAAGGGTAGTCAAGTAAGCTGCCATTCCAATTCAAAATCCAACCAATGCAGCTTCTGCCCAAGGTCCTGGGTTCACTCGGAGAAGGTCATACCAGAGACTGGTTTGGCAGCAGTGTGTAATCTCAGCAGCAGCACATTCCAAGGCAACAACCAAGTCATCCAGTGGTGTTTTGGGGTCACGCAGCTTTCCCCTGCCACATTTGTTGAGTTCTGTCCATAAGTTGATGTGAGAACAAGAAGGGTCATTTCGGCTGTCGTAACCCAAGTGCACATCCTCAAGAGACGCATTGTGCTGCAGCATCGCAGCAAGGTTCTCGAGACTTTCAGCACCATGCGGTCGTGTGTTGAGTTGAAGGTGCTTCAAAGATGTATTATGTTTCAAGGCTTCCATAATGACCTGAAAACTGACTCCAACACAGTCATACGAATAGAGAAATTCAAGCCGATTTTGGTCAAGTATAGCCACAATGCTATCGCTATGGACAGCATTGTTGTGATGACGTGGCATGTACATGTGCAAGCAGCCCAACGACTCCAATCCACACAGGATTTGTAGAATGCCTTTCGTGGTCCGAACACCCAATCCTGATCCAAGATCAAACCTCCACAGTCTACTGTTGGGTGGAATTTCAAACGGGACCCAAGAGTCTTCCACTCGAAGGTCGGTGGACCCCACAGAAAATATTTTTACCTTGACAAAAGCAAGCTGAAGCAGCTGACTCAATGATGCTCCATCAGTGTATGGAAGCACTGTCACAGCGAAGGATTCAAGATTATTTGTTCTCAAAAGAATCTCCCTGCAGAGTGTGCAGTGTGCCCGGGCATTAGTAGCAGTAGTTGAACTCGTGTTGAGCAGCAACACGCCTGGGGAACCCCCCCGGTCCGAGTTTCCACGCCCCACAGCGTGGAAACTTGAACCCTGATGGGTTCTCGCAACTATGACCCTAATCATGGTTGCCGAGAGGACCATCTCACAATTTGCAAAATTAATTCCCGCGCTCCTCACCTACACCTCAAGTACATCTCTACATCCCGCAGGTCATCACCTGCGTTCCGGAAATGGATACCCCACATGATGATGCACCGCATCAGCTCCTCAATGCCTCTCGAACAAGATTACCCTTATCAAGGCAACGACGCCGTCCAAGACCACATTTGGCAAGATCGACAGCGGCAACCATGAATCACTAAAGCCAGCGACCTAGCAAGACCAGCCATTGAACTGCCGATCGCAAGAAGTGTCTCTCTCTCAGCTCAAATTCTTCATTCAGCCGACGCTGAAGGCAAGAACCTAATTAGATTAATCTCTTGCACCGGCATCAGGTTTCGTATCTTTTCGACCTCACCATGGCCAGCTCTAATTTCTCGGATCTCGTCTCTCGTGCAGCGGCATGGGAGGTACATGCTCCTAACTACACTGATATCCTCACTTCAGTGGGCGGCGCCTCTAATGCGAATCGTGATGTTGCCTCTCGGCCATGAGCCAATTTTGCCTTCGTTCGCCTGTCACCTTTGCTTCGTTCTCCAGAATGACGAAACGAATATCTACATTGGACATTCACTCTACGCGTACCCCGTGAATCCTACGTAGCCAGGTCTCTCCCTACGACAATCTCTACGCTATCGTGGTGGGGAACACTTCGAAGCGCTATCACGGTGGTCCTTCCTATGTCGCGTTCAGCCACGGCTGACGTAACCTGCCAAAACATGACAGTTATTGACGGGGAACGATGTTCACCCCGTGCCGGCTCCTGTGCTACCCAGTGGCCCCCACGGCGGCGGTGTCCGGATACTGAACCTTCCGGGTCCGCCGTGTGATGCCTCTTCCGTCCTATCTTCTGAAGCCGTCCTTGTGGCCGTCCCGAAGGACAGTACAAGTCTTCCCCAGTTCCGTCGGAAGTCCTGACCCCTGAGTTGACTCACGCGATCCTGCCACGACAGGCTGCCATCGCCCCTTTGTCCATGGTTCCGCGCCGTTGACTTGGTCGCGGAGGTCACACGTCCACTAGTAAGCTGCTGCTAACGTGGCCCGCCCATCAGCGCTAACGCGCTCCACGAAGACGAACCGGGTACTCTCCCCTACATGGCGGCGCTTGGCCGGTAGGTCCGGCCTGACCAACGCAACCTCAACGCGGGGATCACGA